CACTTCATATTATTTGGCTGCTCTACTGGCTGTTTGGTTGCGTCGCTATAGGATCACTCCGAGATAGAATTTCAAATGGATCCTCGAGCAGCCATAATAAACACATAAGAACATTTCTAAAGGTCCCACTAGCGTAAAATCTAGTTGCTCCACTTGTATTCATTCACTTATATTACCAACGACGATTGGTTGACGCACGTTAAGGGATATGGAAGTTTGGTAAGCTAAAATAGTTAGTTTAATCATTGTCAATAACTCTTCTATTGATATATGTGGAAAGCAATAATATTAGTAGAATAATGCAGGGCGGAAGTCAACGAAGTTTATCGATGTTAAAACGAGTAATTCTTATTCAATTAGTTGTCTATTCTTTCGCTTTCTTGCATAATAAATCTTTGCAAATTCCCCCATTTCCCCTTAATTTCTCTCGAAAATCTTCTTTTTGCCTTAAATTCGATCGACAAATTTTTTTTTGATTATTCCGTTTCATTTAAATATTTAGTGGGATAAAAAGGCTCAGTGGGTTGTTGCTCAATTGGGAGCGCCGATGCTGAGGTTCGATTCCCCGCAGGAATAAACCTGTATAAAAATCCAGGTGATGCTGACGACTCACCTGTATTTCTATCGCCAAGGAACTTTCTGGCATATTTGTCCAATGCGAAAAGCCAGTGGAGCGAGTTTAACCAGTAATGGTGAGGACTGTTTAAAAAAAAATGATATTTAATATTATTACGTTCGCTTGGAAATTTAAAATTTTTATTTTAAATTTTTAAAGAATATTAATTTTAAGAAAATATTTGTAGAAATTTCTATAAAAAATTCGTGCTTAATCGATTATGTATAAATAAATTTAACAACTGGAATAAATAGCCCATAAATTGTGGCAGTTTTAAAGAGAATTTTGCACAAATACATCCTAAGTCATCATTCCTTATAATTAGTAAAATAGTTGTTAGAAGAACAAACGCTTATCTATGGCTTTGCTTGGTCTTCCTCCAACCATTGTATCATTTTATATATTATTTTATGCTTAAATACACTTTTTATATGGCATCTGTACAGTCATCTTTGATACGATACGAATATCTTAAACATATATTATTTTCTATTTGAATTTTGCATAAATGTATGCCATTTATGCAGAAATTCTGCTTGAATATTAAAGATTTTTATATGAATGGAAGCAAACGAAAATGGCTATTATATTTATTTGTGCAAAAAACTCGCGAAAGTGGGAATTTTTTTCGCGAATTGATGCCGTAAAGGGCGAAAAAATTTCTATAATCTCATCGTAGAAGGCTTTGTAATAAGTTGGGAATAAACGTTGATGTTTAATTCTTCAAAATGGTCGTTTAATCTATCGAGTAATCAGCTTTTTCGACAAATCGGCTTTAAAATTTTTTAGTTATATGCAATGAATTGCTAAAATTATATTTCTGTTGCAAAGCAATGAAAAGACAAAAAGCTTATAAAATTTCTCACTTTCTTGTTTCTTTCTGCATTCTTCGTCTGCAAAGATAAGATGATTTCATTTTTTTTCGCTTTCTCGGCAAGCAAATCTTCATTCATTGCTTCTGGTTGCCCGCTTCTTGCACTGAGAGAGCTCGAAGATAGAAGACGGCTGGCTCCATACGGCTTATTCTCGTCAGGATTTAAATAAACCATGGTGCTTCAACTGATAGTCTAAGCGGCTGAACGCTCGACCATCGTAGCCGATCGCCCTTTTTTATATACGTAATAAGCGATGAAGAAATTTGATAAAGTGAATATTTTATCGAATTGTCGAGATATTTTAGCAAAAAACCGTTTAACAATTTTTAACAATTTTATCGGAGTATTGGTTTTTTTAAAGCTCATTACTGACTTATTGCATCAATCATCGAATTATTTTTATAAGAAAATAACAACTGCTGAAAGAGCTATAAATTACAATGGCCGCTCGTTCCGTAAAGTATGTCCCTTGGACATATTACTTCGCTTTCTATGGTGCGTTCTCGAATTTTTTCCAAAACTTCATATTTATTTGCTTAAGGTGGTGGCTAAGATGGTTCGACTGCCTTTGGACCATTTCATGGCAGATATCATTAATGAAAGTCAATTAATGTTTCGCCCTTCTTTCAGGCGTTTATCGCTGAATGAATGTTTACATGTTTTGATTAGATTAATTGTTAATAGGTTGCATATTTTGTGAAAAATGACTCAGCGATAATATAAATTGCTAATCGTTACAAAATTACCTTAATGGTCTTTTTAACACCTTGCAAAAATTTTTTTTGTATTCTTCTTCTGGTATTTCCTTCTTTTCTAAACTAAAATACCACTTTATCATTGTTGTTTCGCCAAGCATTACTATATAATTGATTCTGATTCTAAGTTAAGTATTGGTGGATTATCAAATTTATGTAATCTTTCATTTAACAAATAGAATGGCTCAGTGGGCTATTGGTCAATTGGGAGCACCGATATTAAGGTTCGATTCCCCGCAGGAATAAACCGTACAAAAATACGGGTGATAGTGGCGACCCACCTCTATTTCTATCGCCAAGGGACTCTCTGGCATATTTGTCCAATGCGAAAAGCCAGTGGAGCGAGTTTAACCAGTAATAGTAAGGACTCTTTAAAAAAATCATTGCAAATACTGTAAACGATTGCAACGGTGCATTTATAACTTCTAATTCTTCTAAAAACCATTTGGCTGACTCTGCTGTGTCAGAATTTAAGCACGATAGATATTCGCTAGAAAGCTGAGGAGAGAAATGCAAGTAGGTTGCTAATATTAACTGAAATGATAGATGAGGAATGCTGGATAAGAAGTAGAGTAAGCAAAGATAAGCAAGGTTAAAGGTAATATCTATGAGAACTTAGTGTATTAGCAGAGTTATATTAAAAGTGTAAAACAAAATTATTTAGCAAGATTTTTATGATTAAATTTTTGGCATTGCATTGTTTTAATACAAATTTGAAGGACCCGCATCCTGTTCTGTCCTGTTAGCTCATATTTCCATATATACTATTGCATAATTTCGGTTCTTTTGTCCATTTTGTCTATTTCGTTTCATAAAAACTCTTCTGCTTAATTCTTTCTATATACAATAAAATAAAATTAAAGTTTTAAAATTCTATAAAATTTTTTTTTGGTTTTTTTCATGGAGACTTTATTTCCGACGAAAATTTCTTTTTTTTTTATTAGTTAATGAATATTTACTGTAGAAATTGCGGATTATTTCCACAAATTTTCAAACCAATTTTATGATTTATTCGATTTTTTCTTCGTTTTAGAAGAATTTCCGGATAAATTTCAAAAATCAGCTTCTTTCCTTATGGCATTATCTTCTTTCTAAAAGGTCTCACGATTATTGGTTAAGCTGGCTGCACTGGCTACAAGGGTTTCCAAGTTGCTCGATGTGATCCTATCGCTGATAGAAATAGAAACCATTTTTTTCCCACCTAATATTTTCAAAATCTTTCCTGACTGCATTAAATTCAGATCTTAATTCAGATCCTCCTTGCTTTAGCACCATCCATCACAAGATTCAGCAAATAGCGAATCGAATTATATGTCAACTCTTGTGGTGGGCAATGAAGAAAGTGCCCTAACCAGCGAAGGCGACACTCTATGATGGAATTCCATTTAAGTGAGTCTTTCTTTAAATTTTTTTCGTTAATATTATTAGAATGAGGGTTATAGATTGTAGATTATTTTTTTGCTTAAAAACCGTTAAAGGAACCACCTAAAACCACATCTGCAGCTGTTTCTTATTTTTGGAATCAGTTCACATAACTCTTTAATTTTTTCTAAGAGTTCACCATTTAGAACCGCTCCGTTAGCTTATCGGACTATACATTGTTAATGTAAGTGGTGTCTGAGCGAAAATGGATATGTGAGATTTTATCCACTCGGCGAACCCGTAAAATATACATATATCTTAAAGTGGTCAAAGGCAGGTAACTTCTTATTATTTCTGGAGGATAATTCCTCCACTCTAATGAGAGTTGGCCATGTCTCGCAGCCGTAAGAACGAGTGAACTAAATAGGTTGCAGCTTAATAAATACGGATTTTCATTTTGATAGCGATTTCGGCTTCACCAATTGGAAGAACGCATTCCTAGTCACCGTTATCCGGGGTTGTAATTACGTCTTTCGCCTGGACATTCGGTATTAGAGTGAAGCGAGGTATTTAAAATCAGACGCTTCATATAAGCTGAGAGTGATAAGTTAAGGGTAAACGGAGAAAGAAGAATGTAGAAAAAGAAACGAGAAATGAAAGAGGGAAGAGAGAAGGCAGACATGGCGCCTACCAGATAAGATAAAAGTGCGGCAATTAACTGCTACCTTTTATTATTTCCAACAAAATTTCTAAACTTTGTTGCTGACTTTAACTTCAATTAAGTACCATAGGCCAATGTAATCATTACTAATGTTGAAAATTTTAAACCATTTGCTAAAAATCAGTCTCGGATATTTTTGTATTTTTTGTATTAGCAGTTGCACAGTAATTTCTGCTTTCTTTTGCTTTTTTTAATTGGAATTACATTTTTTACATTTTTTATTTTTTATTAATTTTGATAATTTTTGTTTTTTGAAATGTTTTCTTTATTTAACCATTATTTTCGCTAATTTTTCTTTAATTGCCAACAGTTTTATTAATTTTATATTGCATTGATTTTTGTTCCATTTTCAGTTGATGCATTTAAATGCATTTAATAATTTAGAACGTTCGTTATATAGGTGAATACAAACTTTTTGGTTGTCAGTCGATTGATCGCCTACCAGTTGGTCGCGCAGCTGAATTTGCTCTTAAGCACCGCTATACTCATGCGCGCAGTTTCCTTCTTTTAGTAGTATTATTCACTCTTCTGATTTAGAACTTTTCGCGAGAGCCACTGAGACCCAGAAGTGGAGGTGATTGTTCGTACGAGTAAAACTGTAGTTTTTCGTTGTTTTTACTTCGCTTCGATATTTTGCTATTTAGTCCTTAAATTCAGGGAAAGGAAATGAAATGAGCGAAAAAAATTTGAAAAATTCAGCGACGGAATTGATATCAATTTGCGTAATTGGTTTAAGTGGCTGCGAACAATTAAAAGGTTCCATTGGTGTCGGCAAATCGCTAATTTGTAATCGTTTTGTGCGTGGTGATTATGACCGATTTCGTACCGAACATTCTTCGATTTTATCACAGGTTTGGTTATTTCGCAATTGCTGACTGTATTGTTATTGTCATCGAGAAATCAAAGCCAAAACCCCTTCCGAGCGAGCAAGAAATGGAGAGCAATATGCAACTTTATTCAAAAAGATTCAAAACTCTTCATAATCCTTCAGGTTTTCCAGATTGTGAGACAAATTTCAGTTATTTTGTAACGAGAATACGATTCATTCATTTATTATATTTCTTTAGAGTTTCGAGTCAGATCATTAAATCTCCTGAAAGTTGAGCCATTTGCAAGAAAAACGGAAATAATTATCTGAATAATTCATTGGTTGATGGGCTGGAAAATATGGGATACAAGATATTTTGAAACTTATTTAATATTCGCTTAGTAGGGGAAAATTATTTAGTAGATTTGTGATGTGGAGAATAGCGGCTCTCACTTATTCACAAGGAATTAGAGCCATAACGGAGGAGATCTGGTGAAGTTTAGAGTTTAGAGAAAGAAGTTTAGAGTTTGCAGATGCAATGTGATTAAGTTATTTGTAGTGAACTGCGAGAGAATACAACTGAATATATAGTTTCTTCCAAGAACATAAAAAAATGCATAAATTTATTGCTATTAATTATTAATATCATCAACTCATCTAAAAAAATTGTTTTAATAAAAGGATTTTTTATGTTATAAAAAATTTTTATGTTATGTTATAATGTTATTTTATATTTATGTTATGTTATTTGAATAAATTTGATTACATTTGTTTATTCAGGCAGATTTTCGTGGATCGCCTGTTATAAATAGCGACCATTGGATATACTGGGGTGTTGGATATTTGAATAACAATGATGGTAGTAGTGTTCAAATAAAGTGATTCAGTTTTTCTATGCAGAAAATTTTATTCGTTATTTTTATTACTTTTTACAGGATATTTTTATTTATCATTTTCTTCAGTGTTCAACTGGTTATAAATCTTAATTAGAGTCGAGAAATAATCAATTATTTAATTAACTTTTTCATTATGCATTTTATAATTTTCTATTTAATTTTTATATATTGCTCGCACCAAATATATTTTATATTTTTTAGATTAATTGAGCAAACAGAATTTGTTGACGACGAAACGTTTGAACCTTTTGAAGGCTCATCGAATGATTATCCAAAACGAGCAACTAAAATTAAACTTGATAGTCCTGATAAATTAATGTATATATGTAGGGTAAGTTTCAACTTAATTTATCGCAATTTTTGTGATTGATTTTCTTCTTAAATATTTTTTCTTACCTTGCGGTTTTGAAATTAATATTGGAATATTATCAAAAAACTTTCTTTTAGGAACAATTGGGCTTAGAAACTGAATATGAACATGTAGTTCTTCCCGAAGGTCGGGCTCAAATTGATGGATTCATTTTTGTTTATGATATTTCAATAACAGAAGGTCGAACATTTGATCAGCAGTCAAATATTGCGGCTGAAATTCTCTATAATGCCTTAAAAACAAAGAAACCAATTGTTATTGCTGCAAGTAAAGCTGATATAGGTACAGAAACTGGTAAAAAAGCTTTACAGAGGCTACTTTCTCGGAAAGAATTCAAATCTTCGAGCATAAATGTGGTCAGTTTAATTCTTTTTTTATTAGTTGTCCTAAAAATGATCTTAGCATTATTAAACTTATTTTTGTAGAATTTTTTTTCCATTTCTCTGTGTTAAATTTATAAAAAATTATTTTATCATTTTTTTGTTATTATTGACATGTAATATTATTTCTAATAAAGTGAGAAATTTTGACTTTATCGACATTCTTTAAAGAAAAATGATGAAAATATTTTATAATAAGAAGAATAATTTTTTCTTTCAAATTTTTTGTGTCAGTTTTTTAGGTGGAAGTTTCGTCAATTGCCAATGTAAATATAACAGCTCTTTTCGCTTTGGTTGCCGCGTTTGTCACAAAAAATAAAATTAAACCAAAAGTGCTTTCGTTTTCTGACGCTTTGAAAATTGGTCGAAGAATTGAAGAAGAAATCAGGTATTTACTGCTTCTTTTTCATGAGTTTTCAAAGAATCACTTCATTTTTATCTCATTTTGCAATAAATATCTTCAGCGATCAATATGTAGCATTATTACGTGAATTAATGCCAGTTGAAAGGTGGCCTCAGGTGCGACCATCTTGGACAAGACTTATTAACCGAATTGGCCTTGCACGACATCCAACATACCAAAATTTCGTATATCATTTTGGACGATCTGAAGCGATGAAATTTTATCAAAAGCACGTGAATGAAGCTAGGGAATATTGGATGCAGCGAAGGTAAATAAATATGATTTTTTCATTAAATCATGGTTAAAAATCATCTATGGTTCTCTTCATTTTACGAAGGAAATTTGCATTCCCATATTTTATGTTCTTAGGTATAGGTAGATATATAAATAATATCATTATTTATTAATATCATTATTCAAAAAAAATTCATGATTAATTTGTATGTTTTTATTTATTTATTTATTTATATTTGTTAATAATACTAAATCATGCGAAATTCTTTTAAAAAAAATCTTTTAGACTAAAAGTTCAAGTACCTCGTCTTCACCACGTTTTCCACGACCTAATTGGGATTGAACAGGTACGGAGTTTATCATGGGCGGAGGCAAAGGATATCATATCCAACCATCCCTTATTCGATGATTATTTTCAACCGCTTGGAACTCTTAGTGCTGATCTTGATCCATCAAGTCCACAGGTTTATTTTTTATTATTTTTTCCGTGATTATCACCATATTGCAAATATTTTTTTAGATTGATATAAACGATACTTTTGAATAATGTACTATTCTGATTGAAAGAAGTGATTCCTTCAATATTTATTTATTTCAAGCATTATTGTCTTATTTAGGTCGAATTGGATCCAAACGATTCTCGAATACCTGCAGAAATATTGCTGGCTACTGAAGCTGAACCTACATTTTTTCATTTCCAGGTATTTTTTTTAATTATGAAGTGAAATGGGGTATTTTTTTTTCCACGATACCTTTATAAATAAAAATTTGTAGGAAGCAGTTGATCTTGAATATCAACGTGAGCTTATGGAAGAAGCATATGAACAAATGTTATCACAGTGTCCACAAGTAACACCTGGCAAACCCTTGCAGGAGGTTGAGATATTTTTGCGGGACAATCCTGTTTACAATGCTGTACCTATTCAACAAGCTGTTCGCATATATGATAAATATCAGGTTAACTCTTTTTTTTTTCATATGTATTAGAAAGCGAGATTTAATACAAATTGTGTTTTTTATTTTCGGAATGACGTTTCGAATATTAGCAGTATCTGTGAGTACTACATTTATCACTTGTATAAATAAAAGGAGTTAAATTTGTATTTAAATCGATTTCTTGAGTTGGATTCATCCTTATGAGAGAATGAAGTCGCGCAAAAAATTTTAGGATATTCTGGTGAAAAAAGCCGAGAAAGATTTCGCTGAGCTCCTTCTTGAGCGGCTACAAATCTTCCTGGATATTATTTTAAGACGTATTAAAAGTTCACAGGCTGTCCGTCCATTGATTGGAATTGATGAAGATGAAATAAATGGGCTTAGAGCAATATTAAATGATGATTTTAGGTTAGTCAACTGTTTTTTTTGAATAAGATATTTATATATATTTATATAGATATTTTTCTACGGAATATTCTGAATAATTCGCGTTTTAGATATCGTCAATTAAACCGATTATTCGAAATGAGAGATAAGATGATTTCCAATTATATTTCATTTGTATCTTATCCGTTGGTACAGAATTGTCCAGCTGCTAATCAGTGTATTGGTGCTTTATTATCTGATATTTTCAGTAATCATTTGCAAAGGTTTTTCTTAATATTTCTGAGTAATATATGGAGAACTAATATATTTTCTAATTTTTTTTTTAATTTTTAATTTCTGATTAAAAATGATTACAAAAAAAAAAAAAACTTTTTTTCAAGAAGAGATGGCAATTTTTATTTCAAATGATTTAATTTCTTAAAAAAAATCCTTTTCTCATTTGTTTCTCATTATAGACTCCAGTTGGTCGATTCTTCTCAGATTTTAAATATCAATTTGACAGTTGTTGGTGCCGAAAGGCTTTCAAATGATTTCATTTCAGCAGTATCGGTAAAATTTTATTTTTCGGTTAAATTTATTTTTTTCAATTAAATTTACTCGAAATATAATATATTTAGTTTCAGTTTAGTTGTAGACATCACATTTTTTAGAGAATGGTTCAGAATGATGTATTGGAATATGAAGGTAGGCTTGCACATATAATTTGTAAGACAGAACTGCAATTGGATGGAGTAAACCATGCACCGATTCAAACATATGTTTATCTGATTGACTCGATTGATGCACTTGAAGATATAAAAGGTCGTTCACTCAATGCAGCCCAGTTTCAGTGTCCTCCACTGGTGGTTCTTGTTATTGATCCCACTCATCTGGATATAATTCCTTTTTTACGTCAACAGGTATTGATTTAATTCTATCACCATTTTTTTTTTCACTTTTCCAATAATATGGATTTCATATATTAATGCTTTACCTTTAAATTATTTGAAAGCAATTGCAAATTAAATGCAATTTTAGGCATCACTTGTTGCTAATAGTATTGCTGGAACGTTTGTGGCGCCGATGTCTGATTTGACGACTAAACCAAGACAATCGTCAGATAACGAACTTAATACTTTTTTCACGTACTGTTTTTTTATCGATTTTAAATTCATTTGTATTTTCACACACAATATTTTTTATCTACCAATATTTTTTCTCTCAGTAATATATTAATCCATGGGAATTTTTTTATAGTCATTGGGAAAGCAAGGAATATAAAATATTTAATTTATTGCTCATTTATTCATACTTGATTGTTCCGGAAAAATGATAAATTGAGGACAGTGATATTAGTAGGTCTGTTAATAAAAATTACCAGTTAAAGAAAATGCCTTTAAGACAGGTGAGAATAAGAAAAAAGGTAGAAAGGGGCAAATTTTCAGCATATATTTCTTTTTTAAAAAAGATTTTAATTAGCTTTTTTTGCAGGCGTGATCAGATTTCGCGAGTTCTGGAAGCTGCATTCTTAAGCCAGACCGATGAACGCCGTGCGGATTTGCGCATACAATTATCCTTAATGTGTGGTGATCAGTTTCCTGCTCATTTTTTGCTCAATTCGTTATTTTTTAATGCTGCATTTTGTACCACTTCTTCGTCGGGTAAGCTTCTTCATTTCATTCTTATTCATTTTTTTTCATTTTGTGTTATGGACATAAATTTGTCAAGTGATGGTTTTATGGCTTTTTTATATGACTTTTGACAGATGATACTATTACGATAGAGGTACCGATTCAGTCTTTCAAAAGGAAAGTGCGTATAGATTTGCGAGTAACAGCTTATCACTCTTGGCTCGTTAGCGGTATTTCTATACCCATTCATGGACATATACTTGCCTATAGGTCTGAATTTACAAGATAAATTAAATTTAAATTTACATGATAAACATCTCTCTATGCATAGTAGTCTTTTCATTAATTTCATATTTCTATTTCTTAATCCTTCATTTATCTAAATTCATAAAAATCATTTTTTTTTTTTATATGATTTGGAAATTTAACGAATTTTTATAAAGAATTTTTGTTTTTCTTTTTACATTTTGTCAGTTTTCACTTTTATTTTTAATTAATTTAGTTAATTAATTTGATTAATTTTAATTAAAAATTTAGTGCTAGGCGTAGAGCATCATTTTCTCATGCTAAAGCAGCAGCAAAGCGTTTAATTTCAACCTCATTTGCAACAGGCGACACAATTTTGTTAGCAGCTGTTGCCGATGTTACCGATTTCTTTAGTGATACAGTGATACCATTTTTTTTGTTTTAATTTTTATTTTCCTCATATATTTTAAATTTAGATTTTTGAATTTATTTATTTTCATTTATTCATTTATTCCACAACTTTTGCGAAGATTTAAGGAAGCAAACGCTCTTCTCACTGAAGGGAGTGAACTCGCTGAAGAACTAAAATCTTCATTTATAAGTCTTTCGCCTGAAATACCAGATCGAATTCATTCTATTACATTTCTTGAATTTTTCGAGCGAATTTTGACGATTCATTCTTCGAAGAATTTTCCATTTTTTTCAACTTATTATAGGTTAGTTTGTTTTTCAACTTTGTTCTATTAATAATATTAATAATCTTCAAATATTAGGCTTTAAAGTATTAATAGGATTTATTTGACAGGCAAGGTGTTTAGGTTTGAATTATATTATACAAAGATTCTACATCAAAAATCTAAATTGAAGCTGTTTCTCATCTTTTGTATCGCTTATTTTATTCCAGTTATCTTTGTTATCTTGTTGCAAATGAAGTTATTTCCAGAGCATTTAAATTTTAGAATAAAATAAAAAATTTTTTTTTAAAAATTGATTAAAAGATTTTTTAAAAATTTAAAATATTTGTGCAGTATAGCTTTTGATTGATCTTATCTTTATCTTCGCAGAATTTCATTTTATCTTATCAAACTTTCCTTAGTTTGCAGAATTCTTTGGATTTTCATTGTTGAAAATCTTTGATTACGAATCATAAAAAATTAATTCACTAAGTTTGTTATTATCTTGTTTATTATTATTATTTTTTTATTACTGAATGTCGAATTTTCTTTTTAACAAAATAGTGTAGTTCTCTAAAGCTTTATGAATTCGATGCTTTGCATATTGATCAAATTAGATCTGCCATTAAAAGTGAAATTTGATTAGAGACCTTTTATTTTCAAATGATTCTTTGGCGGAAAAGTCTCCCCATCCTAATAGTCGCTTAGATTGTCCAAGCCAGAACTATGTGCTATTAGATGATAAAAAAGATATTGGATTGAGATGAATCTTTAATTGAAAAATTATCTAAATTGATGAAAAAAGTTGAAAAGAAGAATTATTAAATAAAATATTACATATGTATTCATTATATATATACTTGTAATAACTTTTATCCATAGGTAGAGAGAGATTTAATAAGAATAATTATGAATTATTAATTTTAGCTTTAAAAATTATTAATTTTGCTAAGAACATTTATAAAAGATTTATGATGCCGAATTTAATCAATATATTTCTTTTTAGAAGATATTAATTCGTATTTTTTAGTGTAATTTTTCCAAATAAAAAGATAATTTTTAGTAAAAAAAAATTATTTTTAATTCTGTGCCATATTCTCTTTCTCTTTTATTGCTATTGATCTCGTTGCCTTTATTCTTATTATTCTTAAATAGAAGAAGGCATTTCTAAATTTAATTTCTCGTTTACTTCATTTTCTTTTCCTTTTTTTTTCTATTTTTGCTTTTTCCTTTATTTAATTTATTTTTTTATTCGATTTAATATTTTAAGGAAAAGTATTTGAAAAAACTAAAGCTTAAAAATTTGTGGCAATATATATAATTTTTCTGCAATAAATCCGAAATAAAATTTTTACATAAAGATTTTTAATTTTTTTTGTTTACTCATTTAGGTTTTAGCCGAATTTTGGCTGATAGTATTCTTTGATAAATTCAATGGATGAAATGGAACTTTTTAGTCTTTAGTTTTTTTAATTTTCTGGCATACTTTTTGAAACGTATGATCTTCCATTTAATGTTAGAGGACTTTTCTTTTAGCTATTGCAGTTTTATGAAGCGTTTCTGAAGGCAAAGAGTTCTCTAGGACATCACTGGTGATGTTCGACTAGTTTCATGAATTATTCCTCACCGTATGCAAAGCGGCACTTTTTCTATCATCTTATTATAAAAAATCCAATTTTCATTGCTACTTCCATCGAAAATGAATTTTAATTTATTTCATCTTCCTCACATCCACTCCTTTCGCACTTAGGTTATCGTTTTATATTATTTATTCTATGAAATTCATCTTCATACATATCTTTACGACTGCAAAAATATTCACCAAACTCTACTAAATGAACATATATTAAGGATGGCCTCGTATGGTGAAAAGAATTCTTTAAGGCCAAATTTAACCACGATGCACCATCTCTTGCCTCGGATATAGCTGGTACATTCGTCGAACCATACGTTTGCAAAAACGAGCCGCCAACAGATGAAGAAGAAATAATATGAATAGTAAATCTATAAACTTAGAGCTAATAAGACTCCGGAAGAAGATGGTCTTCGATGGGCTGAATTCTTCAAATGTTGTCCATCGTTCTTCATCATGCCCCTTTAACAATGTAGTGATATGGAAGAAGGAAATACCAGATAACAGGGGCAGAGCAATTCTCCCAATTTCCAAGAAAGGTGACAGGGCATACTGCGGCAATATCGAGGAATAAGCCTATTAGACGTATTTAGGAAAGTTTTTGCTTCCTTTTTAATTTTTAATTAGATTTATGGCAGCAGGATACATCCTAACCATGCTGGATTTAGATCAAGACGGGGTTGTATTGACCAGATATTCACTTTTTCGACGATGCTTTGGAGGGTGATATTTCTTTGGATCACTTTAAGGGCAATCGAACATCGCAATCGAACTTCAAATTTTGGCGATCCACCATCACCTGTTTCATCGATATTGCAGTTGCCTTTGATTCAGTTGATAGAACGACGCTTTGGAGGGTGATGGAACAGTTTGAGAGAAGATTATCTGATTCATTTCATCAGTTTACGTCGCGCAGGTTTGTATATAGGGAACTGACAAACTCCGAAATAAACTGGTATCCGTTAAGGTTGCATCCTTTCCCTTACAACATTCAACTGTGCGATAAACTGGATAATGGACACCGCTTATCGGTACTCAAGAGGTGTACAAATCAGTTCAGAGCATCGTATCACAGATTACGCATCACAGATTAAATTTTGAATACGCTTTCGACGTAGTTCTTTATGACGAAATTCAAATAATGCTAAACAACGTGATAAAAACTGCAGCAAGAATCAGACTTAGGATCAGTACAAATAAAACGAAAATTTCTCCTTTCATCAATTCGAAAATCGTTATATTCAAAAAACTGATAAAATGCCTCTTTTTATTATATTGTATTATTTTATAAATTCTTGAATTTATAAAATAAATAAAATGAATAAATGAAATAAATTCTTTTGTTTTTTATAAATCCGGTTGAGGAAGTGCCCGATTTTAAATATCTTGGATCCATTCTAATACCAAATGACGAGGCAATATTAAAACCCTGATTACGACAGCTAGAAATGCGTTCTTCCGCTTAACGAAACCTTTATGGAGCCATCTCGAAATCAGCATAAAAACGAAAGTCTGTAGTCACAGTGCTCGATCTTGTTATGTGGCTGGCTAATGAGAGTGAAGGATATTAAGCTATTCGCTTTGACCACTCATGTCTAAGTTACAGATTCATCGAGTGGATAAAATCTCACATGATCGCATCCATCTACGTTCAGATACCATTGTATTAACAGTACCATCACAAAGCATCATCTTCGCTGGTTAGAGCACGTTCTTCGTCCCCCACCACAAGTTGATTAGTTACTTTCTAAATCTTGTTATGGGTGCCAAAAGCGAGGACCTGGACTGATACGGTCAGAAAACTTTTTGAACGTATAGCTGGATCAGCAATATACGATGGAAAAAGGAATGATTTCTATCACTGTCGACGATGGCATAAGATTGTGCAGCTTGGAAACGTCTTACTCTTGTAGCCAGTACCCTAACCAGTAATGTTGAGAACTGTTAGAAGAAATGAACTTATAATGAACTTATAAATGAACTCACTTGCTTGATAATTCGAGGCTTGGGTTCGAATCCTGCCGATTTCATCGGGCTGCAGCGTCACCCAAGCAAAGGAAAATAGGATGGCTTAGTGGGTTGTTGCAGAACTTGAAGCATCTGTACTCTCTGGAAGATGTTAAAAAAATGTTCTGTCCAAAATTCCATTGTCAATACTACTATATAAAGAGAAGTGATTACTCTTTAGCTGGTTTTTATAAAGAATTATTTTAATGAAAATTCCTGCCAGAAAAATGGCAGTTTTGAGAAAATTTTAATATAAAATTTTATATATATTTTATATATTTTGGGTCATGTTTTAGGTCATCTAAGTAAATTTAATGTTTCCTTAAGAGCTTTCAAATATTTAATTGGTCAGCAATCTTGAAAATGTTATTTTAAAGGTATATTTGAATATTATATATTTGAATGTTTTTTTTGAAAAGAAAAAGAAATCGAACTTCGTTTTTGATGGGAAATAAGGTCGGTAAGAATCAGGCACAACTCAAAAGTTTATCAATTTAACAGAATTTATTGGGATTAGCTTTTCAATTTTCTTATATTAAGCATATTGTAAAAAAAAATAAATAAAATGAAAAAATAATAAATAGTATGTTAAAATATTTATAAAATATTTATATATATTTATAATATATTTATTTTTATATTCGATCTTCGAAATAAACCTTTCGACTTCTCTTTTAACTTCGTTAATAATTGCTTCGATTTTACTTCTTTTTGCTAAATTTTATTTAATTTTATTAATTATGTTCATAATTGTTATTTTTGCCTTATTTTTTCTAAAATTCAAATTATATTTGCAGTAATTATCCATTGTTGTATAGCGAAATGAACAATGCAAATTTTCATGGACTTTCGACTCCCAGTTAGTTGGCATTTTTTGCTATAAATTGCTATAAATTTGCTATAAATAAAATTCTTCAGTTAGATTTCTTCTTGGTTCATGTGAATTGATGCCTTTAAAACATATTTTACATGCCATATAAGATATCTGACCACACTCTACGCTTTCTCTCATAATAAATTTATTGTTTATTTTTATATTCATTTTTTTAGCAGTAATTTTTCATAACTTTTTATATTTTCTTGTTCGACTGTTCGATTATTTTAATGTAATTGTAATTAGTACTAAGCAAATTCTTGACAACTTCGGTGAAATTTTGTCACTATTGAAGATATTTTTATTTTTTATTTTTAATTTATTTTTTTTATTTTTATTTATACATTTTATCAATTATTATTATTTATTTTCAGTGGTAAATATTTTTTACCTGTTATTTATTAAAATTTTAGGTTGGCATACTTCTACAGTACAGAGTAATTGTACGACAACGAGTTATGATTCGTCGTCATCTCGAAGTTCATGCCATCCAAATTCATTTCATTCTCGTTCAGATATTCCTTCATCAACGCACCAAGGAAAATGCGGAAGTGAACGTGTTTTTCTCAAACGAAATGCTTCCAAACTGTCAAGTCCAAATGAAATCCTATCAAGTGGGTTATTGACAAT